TTACCTCAAAGGAGCAAGCTGAAGCAATCGTTTGCTGCTTAAATCCTGGAATGCCTTGCAGTTTTCTTTTGCTGACGTGTCTCATCAGCATTAAACCTTGTCATGGCTCGTAATGACTCTCAGAAATAATTTCCTACAACTAAACCAGGGAAATTAACCTGCAGCAGTTTTGCCCTAAAATTTAAATATTATGCAACCAACTGCACAATATAAACTAGTGGAACCACCCTGTACTAAACAACACTTTCCCTTTCCTCAACACACATTTTTATAGAACTACAAGGCTTTCCCCCTATTAAGCCCAAAATTAAGTGGTGCACCTTTTCCCTTGGTTTTTTGTTCAATCCACTCACTCAAAAACCTTTCTATCTTACTTAGTTGTTCATTCGTTTCAGGTCACAACCGGGGTTTTACTCATTGCACAAGTTCATCTTTGCCTCATTCTTCTTAATTGTATGAAGTGATGTCTCATTCAGGACATAAGCTAACGCCATTTCCATCTCATGTTCACCATGCCTGAGCTTATCTAGTATTTCGATTTTCTTTAAAACATTAAAAAATTTTGCAAATTATTCTTCATTGCAGTTCCAGATCACTTGCATTCCCCCGGGGGCCATTATCACTATCCCTGAGGCTCATTATGAGATGGAGAAGAAAGACAGCAGTTAATACCCCAAATTTTTTCCCTTTTATTACTCCAGGTAAACCAATATTTTTTGGCATGTACACCAAAAATATGTTGCAATTTTGCAAAATGTGTTAACAGATAATGTATTGCGACTAACATGCCGGGACAAGGGGCTAGTAACCCCTTTTCCTGTATAAATTACTCAATTTAGCCCTTGGAGTGTCACAAATCCCTTTCTGAAACTGTCATTCTATGTCGCAAAATTTTTGAAAAAAACAAAAAAATTTTTTTTTTTTTATAAAATGATAGAGAATCTTTTCCCGATGGTAATGACACCAAAAGTAAGAATTTTTGTAGAAAGTTCACAAAATTACGCTCCTGCAAAGTTAGCGGTCCTCGGCGACAAATACACATCGGAAATTTTTCCCGACTTTGAGCCCTGTTTTTGGCCAATTCCGTTGTTCCAGTTCACTAAACTCATAGCTATTTCTTTAGAACTCCAATTTTTTCTATCAGTTGAGTACAAAAAACTGCCAATTTACCAATTTGAACTCCCCAAAATAAAGTGGGTCAGAAATTGGCAATTTGGAGAATTTCACGCAAATTAAAAAAATTGCCAATTTCAAAATAGGGTCCAGAATAAACAATGTAGACATTCCTGGCACTAAAATAACATATCCTCTGTTCATTAGTCACGTCTCTAGGCCCCTCTTACATTACTATTGCTTTCTATTTTGATTTTTATTCATACAAAAAATACAAAATTTACTGTTATGCAGACTACTGCAGTATTGTAAAAATGGTATAAATAATATCAGTGGGACTAGTGAAAGAATATTAACTTCCCAGTTGGCGTGCATTAGACAGTGGTGTGATTTTCCCTTTCCCTGAACATTGGTTAAAAATCGAACAATTCTGCTACTTTGAGCTCAATTTCAAGGTCGTTTTCATCATGAAACTTGATCTTAATAAGCTCATGCCCGCAGAAAATCACTCTACCAAGTCTGAAGGATGACCAGGAGCATTTTCTAATACCAGGAGGGACTAAGGTCCAATTTATTTTCAATTAGGGAATTTTTCACATTGGGGCAAATGCCTATGTAACCAGTCATAGAAAATGTCCCTAGTGACCCATGCCTTACTGTTTGCCCTCCACAGCACACACAAATTTTGCCTTGAGGGTATTCTTTTGCCTGAACGCTCTGGGAGTTTCAGAGTGATACACCAATAAAGCTTCAATTTGCAATCACCACTAGCATTGGCACACATCAACAGAGTAAGCCTGTCTTTCATAGACTTATGTACTGGGATGCCTTTTCCTCCTCATAATGTAGGTCCTGCTTGGCATTTTCTTCCAAAACAGGCCTGTTTCATCACAATTAACACTTGTTCAGGTTTCAATCCTTCAGCCTCTATGTACTCCTTGAATTACTTCACATATTTTTTCAGCTGCTTTGTGGTCCGAACTGGCAGCCTCACCATGCCTTATCACACTATGTATGCCACTACGATCTTAAATCTCTCAAACCAACCTTTGCTGGCCTTAAATTCACTCACTTCACCACTAGTTGCTGGCATTTTTCTAATTAAATCCTCATGCAACTGCCTAGCCTTTTCACATATGATCGCTTGAGAGATGCTATCTCTGCTATCTGTTTTTTCATTTATCCACACCAATAACAGTCTCTCAACATCTTCTATCACTTGCGATCTGTTTCGAAAACATAGTTGCACCTTTGGCAAGAACAGCTTCCTTGATTGCTGTTTTCTTGGTCACAATAGTAGCAATGGTTGATTGGGGTTTTGTGGTACAACCTGGCAAGCTAGAGACCCGCATTCCACTTTCATACTTAGCAATGATCTCTTTCTTCATATCCATAGTAATTCTCACCCTTTTTGCTGTAGGGCTGGCACTAGAAGCTTTCTTGGGGCCCATGGTGACTTATTTTGCAGGTGAAATCACCAAAAACGCTGTGATAATATGAAAATGTTCCGATGTAATTCTTGGATGGGACCGCGTGGCTGGCTGGCTTGTAAACACTGGCACCCACGGGACAAGTGAGGCGCGCTCAGGCCACAAGTGATGCGTCTGGAATGGAACAAATCGCGTTGGTCGAGTTTTTTAGCGCTAGTTGAGGCAAAATTTTTGCGTTAAAATGTATCGCTAGTCGATTTAACGTATACGATGCCATCGTTGGTCGAGGGTCCAATGTGCATTCACCTACTCCATACTCTCTCCCTCCGATCTGATATCCAATCTTTCATCACCTAATCTTTTTGTTATCCTCATAACCTTACTCTTTCCTGTATTCACTTTTAATTTTCTTCTTTTACATACCCTACCAAATTCATCCACCAACCTCTGCAACTTCTCTTCAGAATCTCCCAAGAGCACAGTGTCATCAGCAAAGAGCAACTGTGACAGCTCCCACTTTATGTGTGATTCTTTATCTTTTAACTCCACGCCTCTTGCCAAGACCCTCACATTTACTTCTCTTACAACCCCATCTATAAATATATTAAACAACCACGGTGACATCACACATCCTTGTCTAAGGCCTACTTTTTACTGGGAAATAATCTCCCTCTTTCCTACATACTCTAACTTGAGCCTCACTATCCTCGTAAAAACTCTTCACTGCTTTCAGTAACCTACCTCCTATACCACACACCTGCAACATCTGCCACAATGCCCCCCTATCCACCCTGTCATACGCCTTTTCCAAATCCATAAATGCCACAAAAACGTCTTAGCCTTATCTAGATACTGTTCACTATATGTTTCACTGTAAACACCTGGTCCACACACCCTTACCTTTCCTTAAAGCCTCCTTGTTCATCTGCTATCCTATTCTCCATCTACTCTTAATTCTTTCAATAACAACTCTACCATACACTTTACCAGGTATACTCAACAGACTTATCCCCCTATAATTTTTTGCACTCTCTTTTGTCCCCTTTGCGTTTATACAAAGGAACTATGCATGCTCTCTGCTAGAATTTACGCGTATAAATACGTCCGAAACAGTGGCGCGTAAGACGTATATATATATGACCAAAACAGTCAAAGGGTTAAAAAGAGAAACTTTCGCTTTTCTTTTTGAGCCACCCTGCCTTAGTGGGATGTGGCTGGTTTGCAGAAAGAAGATTTTTTTTTTTTTTTTTTTATCACACCGGCCGATTCCCACCAAGGCAGGGTGGCCCAAAAAGAAAAACTTTCAACCATCATTCACTCCATCACTGTCTTGCCAGAAGGTGCTTTACACTACTGTTTTTAAACTGCAACATTAACACCCCTCCTTCAGAGTGCAGGCACTGTACTTCCCATCTCCAGGACTCAAGTCCGGCCTGCCGGTTTCCCTGAATCCCTTCATAAATGTTACTTTGCTCACACTCCAACAGCACGTCAAGTATTAAAAACCATTTGTCTCCATTCACTCCTATCAAACACCTCACGCATGCCTGCTGGAAGTCCAAGCCCCTCGCACACAAAACCTCCTTCACCCCCTCCCTCCAACCTTTCCTAGGCCGACCCCCACCCCGCCTTCCTTCCACTACAGACTGATACACTCTTGAAGTCATTCTGTTTTGCTCCATTCTCTTTACATGTCCGAACCACCTCAACAACCCTTCCTCAGCCCTCTGGACAACAGTTTTGGTAATCCCACACCTCCTCCTGACTTCAAAACTACGAATTCTCTGCATTATATTCACACCACAAATTGCCCTCAGACATGACATCTCCACTGCCTCCAGCCTTCCTCCTCGCTGCAACATTCATCACCCATGATCATACCCATATAAGAGCATTGGTAAAACTATACTCTCATACATTCCCCCTCTTTGCCTCCAAGGACAAAGTTCTTTGTCTCCACAGACTCCTAAGTGCAACCGCTCACCCTTTTCCCCTCATCAATTTTATGATTCACCTCATCTTTCATAGACCCATCCGCTGACACGTCCACGTCCCAAATATCTGAATACATTCACCTCCTCCATACTCCTCTCCCTCCAATCTGATATCCAATCTTTCATCACCTAATCTTTTTCTTATCCTCATAACCTTACTCTTTCCTGTATTCACTTTTAATTTTTCTTCTTTTGCATACCCTACCAAATTCATCCACCAACCTCTGCAACTTCTCTTCAGAATCTCCCAAGAGCACAGTGTCCATCAGCAAAGAGCAAACTGTGACAACTCCCACTTTATGTGTGATTCTTTAATTTTTAATGGATGATATTTGTAATGTTTCCTGACAGTCAAAATGCTTTAGTGTTACAAAAACTTGAATAAGTACTATGCCAAAGATTTCAAGAATAATACCCCTCTGATGTTAAAAGAACCATTTAAAAAAAAAAAAAAAAAACTTACATTTACAGTGGGAGGTTCAATATGAAGTGAAGAAGGATGTTCATAGAAAAGCTGATGAGCCTCGTTATTATTGTAGCACTGGGCACCATATTTACAACTCTGAAAATGGCAAAATATAAAACAATAAAAAAAAAATGAAAAATGTAATTCAGTCAAATAATGATAAAGAATATGGAGGTAAACACTTGTCAAGGCTGAGGACTGATCACCACATATTTACCTCTCTACTGCTTCTGCCATCTCCAATATTTAAGTCGCCTCTGTATTTAACTGAAGAATTTTGCTGAGCAGGTGAAAAACATTTCGACAATAAACATATCCAATTTTTGCACACAGGTCTTACTCACCCAACAAGTTTATAGTTGTACCTTTTTTGAAGGTCTGTCTGAGTCCTCTGACTTTCTTTTCTCCTGCTTCAATCCCTTCTTTCCTGTATCTGATTTTTTCTTCTCTTCAGTTGTTATCCCTTCAACATCTTTACTGAATCTACTGAGTGTCTTCTGGACCTGTCAGTAAGAGAACAAAAAAATAATTTTCCTTATTAAATAAGTAAACAATACAGCACACTGGTACAGAAAAGAGAACAGATAACATCTGAATGTCTGTCAGCCTAAAAAAAACCTCAAGAATGTATATCCTTATGCAAAGTGGCTTAAATTATATTATTTTAATTTAGGTTAATTTAACACTATCACTAATGTCAAGTCTCTTCCTGTCTTTTTTTTAAAGTTATATCAAAACAGCTATGGTACCACTCTTAGAAATGCTGAACTTATAATTGACTTTATCAAGCATTCAGTATCAATTATGACACACTGACTGGGCCAGTGTGCAGTAGAGGTTAGCAGTTTCATGGCCATAAATATCTATGATTACAATACAAAATACAGTTATCAATAAAGGAGACACAAGAAAATTGTTTCAGCATTAAGAATGCCAGGAAATATTTTAATTAGCTGGAAGATGTACATTTTCTAAATTATATGGATGTTTTCAGTAAAAAGTCCACTAAACCTGACTCATATACTCTCCATGACATTTATATTATATTCAGAGTTATCCATGTGAGTCACAATCCAAGTTTTTTAAACAGTACATGATGAAGAAAAAATTTAGATAGAAAATATGATGAAGTGGAGCCAAGACAAATAACCGATAAAAATATATATAGCAGGTAAAGGTGGCTTTGAATTTTAGGAGCTTCAGCACCCAAAAGGCTTCTGTGAGTGCATTACATAAGAATGAATACAGACATGGGTTTTAAATAGATATAATGTTGGAGTGTGATGTAAGCACACTTCTGGCAAGACAGCAACCAAATAAATGATGGTGAAAATATTCCTTCTTACAGTCACTCTGCCTTGGTGAGAGACAGTCGTTGAGGTAAAAAAAAAAACATCTAAACCATCAAACATCAGGTAAATAATCAGTATACAAGTACAGAACTGAAAGTAAGGCATATACAGGTGTGAAAACTAAATAAGTAAAATTATTTATAGTGGAACCTTGACTTACGAGTGTCCCAACGTACAAGTTTTTTGAGATACAGAGCCGTCCCTGGGTCGATTTTTTGCTCTAAGTTATGAGCCAACATTTGAATTATGAGCCAGCTCCCCCCCCCCTCCGACTTCCCCCTCAACCCAAAACCTTACACCTCTCTTCTTTATCTATAATTTCATGCTTTAATTCCATGGAAATCATTCTCTTTTTCTTCTCAGCACTGTCCTTTACACTTACTTTCTTAGGATCCATGCTTAGAAAAACAAAATTTGGCCAGATGACTGTCAAAAATGTAAGCAAAGCACGAGAGAACTGCTCCCACAGCGAGGTAAACAGTGCACTGAATGGCAGCGTTCGTTATTATAATAATATTAACAATAATAATTATTATTATTATCAGTGTTATTATTATTAATTTAGGTAACTAGAGCACAGATCCAATTCCCTAGATCACCAGCGTCAAGGCTCCATGACACTGGTGAGGGGTGCTTGATTTAGGAAATTGGATCTGTGCTCCAGTTCCCTAAATAATAATAATAATAATAATAATGGAGTGTGAGCAGGGTAATATTAGTGAAGGGATTCAGGGAAACCGGTTATTTTCTTATAGTCAGACTTGAGTCCTGGAAATGGGAAGTACAATTCCTGCACTTTAACCCTTTGACTGTTTTTCGACGTATAAATACGTCTTATGAGCCAATGTTTCTGACGTATATATACTCAATAATTCTAGCGGCTTCACAATCAAGTGGGAGAAAGCTGGTAGGCCCACATGTGAGAGAATGGGTCTGTGTGGTCAGTGTGCACCACATAAAAAAAAATCCTGCAGCACACTTTGCATAATGAGAAAAAAAAACTGATCGTTTTTTTGGAATAAAACGCCGACTTTGATGTGTATTTTCGTATAGTATTATCGTTGTATTCGCGTTTTCATGGTCTTAGGTGATAAAATGGAAAACATATTACAGAAACAGAGATATATTTTCATTACTTTTACGATGAAAACGACCTTGAAACTGAGCTCAAAGTAGCGGAAATGTTCGATTTTTACCAATGTTCAAGAGTAAATAAATCACACCACACGTCCAATACACGTCAACTGGGGAGTCTAATATTCTTTCACTAGTGCACTGATATATTTTATACCATTTTTACAATGATGCAGTCGTCTGCATAACAGTAAATTTTTATTTTTTTGTATGAATAAAAAATCAAAATAGAAAGCAATAATAATATAAGAGGGGCCTAGAGATGTGACTAATGAACAGAGCATATGTTATTTTAGTGCCACGAATGTCTACCTTGTTTATTCTGGACCCTATTTGAAATTGGCATCTTTTTTTATTTTGCGTGAAATTGGCCAAATTGTCAATTTCTGACCACCATATTGGGTAGTCCAAATTAGTAAATGGGAGGTTTCTTGTACTCAGCTGATAGATAAAATGGAGTTCTAAAGAAATAGCTATGAGTTTGGTCAACTGGAACAATGGAATTGGCTGAAAATAGGGCTCAAAGTCGGCGAAATCGCCGATACGCATATGTCACTCACGAGACCGCTAACTTCGCGGGAGCATAATTCCACGAGTTTTCGACCAAATTTCGAACTTTTGGTGTCATTACCATCGGGAAAAGATTCTCTATCATTTCATAAGAAAAATAATTTTTTTTTTTTTCAAAAATTGAGCGACATAGAATGACAGTTTCAGAGAGGGGCCTGAAACAGTCAAAGGGTTAAAAGGAGAGGTTTGGGATATTGGCAGTTTGGAGGGATATGTTGTGTATCTTTATACGTATATGCTTCTAAGCTGTTGTATTCTGAGCACCTCTGCAAAAGCAGTGATAATGTGTGAGTGTGGTGAAAGTGTTGAATGATGATGAAAGTATTTTCTTTTTGGGAATTTTCTTTCTTTTTTGGGTCACCCTGCCTCGGTGGGAGACGACCGACTTGTTGAAAAAAAAAAAAATAATAACAACGATAGAGCTTCAGTTCCTTAAATGCCGAGTGAATGCGTGGGAAGTTTTGAACCAAGTGTGAGAGTACTTGTGGTTGGGGATTTCAATGCTAAAGTGGGTAAAAATGTTGTGGAGGGAGTAGTAGGTAAATTTAGGGTGCCAGGGGTAAATGAAAATGGGGAGCCTTTAACTGAGCAATGTGTAGAAAGAGATTTGGCAATAAGTAATACATATTTTATGAAAAAGAGGATAAATACATGCACAAGGTATGATAAAGCATGTATGAAAGTAGTTTGTTAGATTATGTATTGGTGGACAAAAGGTTAATGGGTAGGCTCCAGGATGTACAACGTTTATAGAGTGGCAACTGATATATTGGATCATTATTTAGTTGTAGCTACAGTTAGAGTAAGAGGTAGATGGGACAAGAGGAAAATGGCAACAACAAGAAAGAGGTGAAAGTGTATAAACTAATGAGGAGGAAGTTCAGGTGAGATATAAGCAACTATCGACAGAAAGGTGGCTGGTGCAAGTATGAATAGTGGGGGGAGGGAGGTTGAAGAGGGTTGGAATAGTTTTTAAAAATGCAAGTATAGAATGTGGGGCAGAAGTCTGTGGTTATATGAGGGGATGAGTGCAAGAGGAAAGAGGAGTGATTGGTGGAATGATGAAGTAAAGGGTGTGATAAAAGAGAAAAAGGTAGCTTATGAGAGGTTTTTACAAAGCAGAAGTGCTGTAAGATAAGTCTGTTGAGTATACCTGGTAAAGTGTATTGGTAGAGTTTAAATTGAAAGAATTAAGAGTAAGACGAAAATAGGATAGCAGATGAACAAGGAGGCTTTAGGAAAGGTAGGGGGTGTGTTGACCAGGTGTTTACAGTGAAACATATAAGTGAACAGTATTTAGATAAGGCTAGAGAGGTCTTTGTGGCATTTATGGATTTGGAAAAGGCGTATGACAGGGTGGATAGGGGGCAATGTGGCAGATGTTGCAAGTGTATGGTGTAGGAGGTAGGTTACTGAAAGCAGTGAAGAGTTTTTACGAGGATAGTGAGGCTCAAGTTAGAGTATGTAGGAAAGAGGGAAATTTTTTCCCAGTAAAAGTAGGCCTTAGACAAGGATGTGTGATGTCACCGTGGTTGTTTAATATATTTATAGATGGGTTGTAAGAGAAGTAAATGCGAGGGTCTTGGCAAGAGGCGTGGAGTTAAAAGATAAAGAATCACACACAAAGTGGGAGTTGTCACAGCTGCTCTTTGCTGATGACACTGTGCCTTGGGAGATTCTGAAGAGAATTGCAGAGATTGGTGGATGAATTTGGTAGGGTGTGCAAAAGAAGAAAATTAAAGGTGAATACAGGAAAGAGTAAGGTTATGAGGATAACAAAAAGATTAGGTGATGAAAGATTGAATATCAGATTGGAGGGAGAGAGTATGGAGGAGGTGAAGGTATTCAGATACAGTGGACCCCCGTTAACGATATTTTTTCACTCCAGTAGTATGTTCAGGTGCCAGTACTGACCGAATTTGTTCCCATAAGAATATTGTGAAGTAGATTAGTCCATTTCAGACCCCCAAACATACACGTACAAACGCACTTACATAAATACACTTACATAATTGGTCGCATTCGGAGGTGATCGTTATGCGGGGGTCCACTGTATTTGGGAGTGGACGTGTCAGCAGATGGGTCTATGAAAGATGAGGTGAATCATAGAATTGATGAGGGAAAAAGAGTGAGTGGTGCACTAGGAGTCTGTGGAGACAAAGAACTTTGTCCTTGGAGGCAAAGAGGGGAATGTATGAGAGTATAGTTTTACCAACGCTCTTATATGGTGTGAAGCATGGGTGATGAATGTTGCAGCGAGGAGAAGGCTGGAGGCAGTGGAGATGTCATGTCTGAGGCAATGAGTGGTGTGAATATAATGCAGAGAATTCGTAGTTTTGGAAGTTAGGAGGAGGTGCGGGATTACCAAAACTGTTGTCCACAGGCTGAGAAGGGTTGTTGGGGTGGTTCGGACATGTAGAGAGAATGGAGCGAAACAGAATGA